GTTACTAATATCTATACCTTTATACTTTCAAATTATTTATTTTTTTTTCGTTTGTTATTATTAGATCAAATAATATCCCAATTTCTTTTTTTTTATCCAAGTGATGCAAAACATTTGATCGCCACTGTATAGGTAATTATAATAATATAGGAATGGAGAGGCATTGGGCTTCCCATTGTACAGGAAATACCTTTTGTGGTATAAGCTATAAAGATTATATGAAAATTAAGCAAAAACCTAATTCAGAATATAATTATGATAATGGGCAGGGCTCTTTGAGTCACGAATATGCATTACATAATTATGAATTATGGATGCAGAATGCCATCAGAAAAGTTAAACGTGCAAGAGAGATTGGTAAGAAAATTCGAGCTATAAATCTTATATCTCAAAAATGGATTGAATATATATATAAACCCGATGGTTTCTGTGCTTCAGAATTGGCATTACATTATCAATTACTATGGATGGTTCGAGAAGAAATGCGACAAGTTAATAAGGTATAGTCTTGCAATACATACATATCTACTTATGTGTCTTTAGACACTATTACCTTGTAATGACTCGAAAAGTCTAGCTCTGCTATTATATAACTTATTCATACATACATATATATTTATTTAAAATAAACTACCTAAAGTATTCAGTAATGGCTAGTACTTTGGACTTTTATTTATTGTTATTTTTTACACGAATTTATTTTGTACATCACAAAAATCCCTAATATAGATAATAGATTAGGCTTGGTATTATTGTCTCCTTGAGACGGATCTTTGAGCCTATACATCCATTTTAATTCAACACAGAGGCTGGATATGTGCATATAAATATATAGTTCAGTGGCAAATAGGATGTATTTATATTAATGTGTTAATAAAATTACAACTAAAAAAAATATTTAATTATCGAACTAACTATATAACACAATTTTATTCAAACTATATTAATCATGGAATCCAATCTAATATTAGCTCTAGTGCTGGTTTTTTACTTGATAAAAAGTAGATTGATTCATCAGAAATAAATGGACATTTCTTTACATTGAGAATTAGTAAATTAAAACAGTGGTGTGTAATTTCATATATCGTTTTATCAGTGATATAAATATATTGAAACTAAGATTCTGAATGTTTGAACATGAATAAACTATATTATATACAGAATCATCTGTAATTATATAACAGGAAATAAGACTAATATTTTGTAGATTTTTATTTAAATCTGCGATTTTTTTGATTTATTTGTTGATAATATGTTTACAGTCTTTGAGAAAATAATTTTGCATATCTGGACAGCCAGTTGCAATCGCACATATAGCTTCATCCATAATTATTTCATTAAACGACAAATCCAGGTGTTGAAGATTTACACATGAGCATGCAATTGCACAAATTGATTCATCATTAATATAAGGTTGTCCATTGAGGTTTAAATATACTAGATTGGAACAAGATCATGCTATTTCAATCACAGATGCATTGGAAATATTACTATCTCTATATAAAGAAGTAAGACTTATGTATTTTAAATTTGGACAAGATTGTACTATTTCACTAACACATTTATCGGTAATAGCTGTACATGCATCAAGACTCAGATGTAGTAGCTTCGGACAATATTTTGCAATTTTTATAATTGGTATAATACTAAAACCATGACTTCGATCAAGAATGAGAAAGTTTATATCTGGACATGAATGCAAAATTGCACTAAATAATTCATCTGAGATTTTTAAACACGCCAATTTGAGATATACCATCTTTGAGCAATATGGAAGTTTTATCTTTCCGCACATAACTCTTTTAAACTTTCTTAATTACCAATAAAGAGGTCCAGACATATCTTTACTATACCGATTTTGCCGATAACCTTCTATAGAAAACTCAATGTGTCTCCATAGAATCGGGGCATTGCAGTGATACCAAAGTCTATTGACAAATAATGCTGGATCGAGTGCTTTATCCTTAGCCAAGAAACTGAATATATTTTCAAGTAACTCCGGAAGAATAAGAGGGTGAATCATATTTGGTTCTTTATATAAGCAGAGATAGTACAAAAGATTAAAAATTAATTGCATCTCTGAAATTTCGCTCTGGTTAGGTAGAATGTTTATTATCTTTTAACCCCTCGATTTCCTTTTCTAGATCAAGAGGGGTATCCCATCGAAGTGAGAAAGACTCAGATCTGGGTTTATTCAGATCTATAACTATAAACTCTTTTTGCCTCAAATAGCCGTCAATAATTTTTGAAGCCTTTCGTGGATCTACATCAGTGTAAGGACTTATAATATCTGCAAGTTTTCGAATAGAGCCCCCGCCATTAAAGAGAACAATGTGAGTAGCATTTTCACGAATATCTAATGGAATTTTGTGGAATTTCTGAGCAACATAAATTGAGGAAATATTCTCATGACGACCTCGGGTGAAAAATGGAATAATTTTTTTCTGTATAGCTGGAGAGTCAGAGTAAAGATCTTCAAATATCGCCAATGTACTTCTTTTAGCATTAAACTTTTGGGGATCTGGGATTTTATCAGGAGATAGTGTAGAAAATATGAAATCTTCATAATAGGATTTTGATTTGTTTTGGGCAAGATATTTATAAAAATTTCGAACTATTTTATATATTGGCTCATTTAAATGATGTCTGAAAAGAACTACATCATTGCATTTAACGTTACGTTCTCCTATCTTAGAACACTTTTTCTTCTTAAACATGTAATAAAATTTGGGCATTATTAGCAAGTTTAAATTCATATTGGTCTTACCTAAATTGCTAGCCCCTGCCATTACAATACAAAAAGGCCATGCTGGTGCATCTTTATCTCCCTGATATTTTTTCGAAGGTTTTACCTCATCCACGGTAAATACACAATATATCATCTTTTCGTTATAAATATATATATATTATGTTTTTTTTTATTCTGACGAATTATTCAAATTTGACACACTATTTGTATTTGTGTTTGACAGATAACCTTTCTCTTATAATTTGCTTTTTATATAGGGAAATAAATCTGCATCATACGGTATTTCAATAAGATCTATACCTTGCTCCTTGCATATATTCCGCTTTTTTTTGTCACGTAATCTTTGTGAATCTAGATTGACCTTGCCATTGGGGTGAAAATGTTTTGGAACAACACGAAAATGATGGATGCCCTCAAATTCGAATGCTAATTTTAATTCTTCATTATACCCGTCTAATTGCATCCCATTCAAAAATAACGGTTTATATGATGGAAATTTTTTACCAAGCAGATCTTCGAAAATATATCTCGCGGATCGTTCCCCTTTAAAATGAGGACAAACTGGACACCATTCAAATTTCTGCTTCTGGATTTTATAAGGTGCATACCACTGATTCTTTCCATTTTCACATGACCAAAGATATACATTAAAATCATTTATTTGACAAGTTTTACCAAGACATTTTCCGTTGCGCTTCTTTGCATATTCTTTAGCCTTAGCCACTTCATTAATAATATGAATAAAATTAACAGATCTGGAACGAGTATTTTCTTCCAATATACTTTGGGGCGGATACTGAAATTTTTCTAGATCTATGTGCATCAGCTCCTCTCTCACAAATCCTCGCCTTGGAGGATATTCATCATCATCATCTCCAATATAATATAAAACTGGTTCATTTTTTGCTACTATGATTTTTCGAATTTTATGAAGGCTTGGTGAGAAATGTTGGGTCCGTTGCGCGTTTCTGATTCTCCATACCTCCTTCCCACTCTGCATTAGCAAGTAGATAGCGAACTGTATCACCTTTCTTCAACCTATTCTCCTCATATTTCCCAACAGGACGCTTATACTTTATAGAAGGCCTAGATTCTACTCGTTCTAACCGAATGGCCAGCTTGGGAGCTAAACACTACTTTGTAGAACCTGGAGCTCTAATGAGACGTGTTGGATAATTATTTAGGTAATCGATAACTTCTGGCAAATACTTTACCCATGCTCTTATTGATCTAGGGTTCAAAGTTATACTTTCGACAGTATAATGGATTTTATAAAGCATCTCTGCTAACGTCTTATTGAATCGTTCTACAAGAGCCAATCCACGATGATTATAAGCACCAATTACTTGAATTGTGACATTATACATCTCCATTAATCGAGCAGTTTCACCCATGAATTCTTTACCACCATCACATTGTAGAAGTGTCGGGTATGTAAAAGGGTTATTGGGATTATCATAAATTTTCTTGAATGCTTTAGCAACCTCTGAACTATTCTTCGATGTTAGAGGAACACTGGCTTTGAATCTGCTAGAGACGTCTATAATCTGTAATACTGCTTTCCATGTCTTCCCCTTGTACTAATCATGCGTGAGAAACAGTATATCACACTGGTGTACACATCCAGGACGTGAGATTTTTCCATAATTTACTCGTGGAGTATTTTTCGGTGACGGAGCATACTTTTGCCATTCATTCTGCCTATGCAACCATTCACGAATTTTTTTATATGGGAAATTATATCCTTCTTTTTTACATGCATCTCTTAAAGCTTTTAAATTGGAAAGATAGCCTGTAGGTCGGTAAAAAAGCAATTTGCATATTAAGTTTAACTCTTCATCTGGGTCAATTCTAATAATATCTTGCTCAATTTACTCATCTCCGATATTACTTATTATATTATAAACTAGAATAAATTTCAATGGCTTCTCTTGAAGCACAAATTCGAAAATTGAATATAAATTGTCTCAGGCTGAGGATTATATCTTATATCTCGAAAAGCAAATTACAGATCGGGGTAATCAAATTGATATTCTCAAATCAGAAAACACGAATCTTAAGAAGCGTCTTAAAAAGGTATTACTAGATGCTGAGAATAAGAATAAAAATAATATTTTTCTTGAGGCTCAATTACTAGAAATGAATAATGAAATATCTTTACTTCAACATAGAATCCAACAATTACGTCAAAATATTAGAATGTCGAGTAATATCGCTGATAGTTCTGAAACAGTTCTTACATTATTGATTAAGGTCCGAGATAATTTCAAATATTTAGCCGATTGTTATAGAGGAAATGATGACCCATTACTTTCTGATGAAATTGATAATCTTCAAATACAAACCGAATTGAGGATAACTCAAATCGAAAATAAATATAACTACGAGATTGGTCACCTAAGAGAAGGTATTATTGAAGAAAATGAAATTCTTCTATTTATTCAGCAACAAACTATAAATGAGCAAGTAGATATAATCCGAAATCAGCAAGATTTTTCCAATGAATTGGCAGAAAAAAATCAGACTCTTCAAGACCAGTTAGATTTATATCGTACCGAAAATTATAGATTAACAGAATCCATAATTAGTATTCAAGGGGAATTGTTGGAAACTCAGCAAAACTTTGAAGACCAGTCAATATATTATGTAGAAGTATCTGAAATTTTGTAAAACTGGAAAATGAATATAATGAGTTAAAAGATCGCTTGCGTATTTTAGGTTTAACAAATGTTGGAGCCAGATGCAGAGCCTTAAATAATTTTCAATGGATTTATCGACAATATAGTATTTATAGAAATAGAGCATATCAAGCCGAAAGATGTTTACAAGAATGTCATACTAATGGGGCTATGTTAGAATATTGGCGTGATCAACTTATAGCCAGATATCAAAAATGGAAAAATAAAAGCGCTATTATGAAATCTCGTGAATTATATGGGCGATTAACCATCCAAGCACAAAGAAGATGTAATGTCACATTATTGACAGAAAAATTTGCACAACGCCAATTAATTTTAAATTTACAAGCTCAAATTTTATTGCTACAAAATAATCCACCTATAAATCAGAACATGGCGGCTGCCGATAGACAACATATTTATCAAACTATTGAAACAAGTCTTGCCCATATTCCATCATATATTGAACAGGAACCACCTGATGATTATTGTAATAGGATTGAAACGGCCATCAGCTATACTGATACAATGATTGCTGATGCTAATAATGCAAATGCCAATACTTTTACTGATGCGCATAAGGCAGATATTTATAAATCAAAAATGGCAGGAAAGTATTTACCAGTTCCACCTCAACATGGAGGAAATAATATTGATACTCCAGCCCGATTCAGAGCATGGCTTGGAGATACATATCTACAAAGAACAGTTGTTACTCGCCAGTCTGCTATTCAAAGATTATCTCAAGAAACGTTTAAGACGGATGATAATCCAGAAACATATGAAGCTAGAATTCGTCAATATCTATTAGATGTGCCTGATAACGATGCTAACGCTTTGGGATTTCTCATGGCTCATTTACCTGATGAGCTTTTTATTAGAACAGAAGGGACAAATCCTGGTGGTATCACAGCTTTCTTTACTACACTTAAAGAATTATGGCTCAAGCGTCAACCATCACTTAGTTATAGAGGCTCAATTCCCGATCAAAGTACTCAAACTCCAGTTGTTAATATACAAAATAAATCACATTCTGATAGTAGTGGTATATCTCTAGCTGAAGTAAAAAGTATAATAAAATCGGAATTAGCTTTAGTACCAACCACTTCTCTTCAACC